TTGCTGCTGGCTCTGTTTGGTAGATCTGACGGTCATGGGGCGCTGGCGTCGCAGCCTTGTCACCCAGCGCACGCCGTGTAAAGGGTCTCCCTTCGAGCCTGTTCATATGTAGCCTGGCGGCCACTGGGCGCTCATTGTCGCCCGTGACACGGCTTCTCAGAAGTGGCGCCTTCTGTGCTACGGCCAGCTCCAGGAATCCTCCCTACGCTTAGGTCGGGCATGTCCCCCTACAGGCGGATTTTCGAGGAAAAACAAAACGAAATCAAATAATTACGAAAAAATAAGAATTTGAATCAAAATCGTCCGCATACGATGGTTTTTTGTTTTACCTTTTTTGTGTATTCCCCCCGTAGAAGGACATGCCCGACTTAAGGGTACGCTGGCGTTGACTTCTTCGAGGGGCCAGAAGACGGCCTCCAGACGCCGCAAGAGAGGAACCGTCGTCACCGCACAGATCGACATCGGGATTTCTGGGCCCTCCCTGCCGCTCCTCTTCCCCCCCATCCGCCCTGACGAATTGGCCCCTGGACTGCTCGTGCTGCCCATCACTTTGGAGGGGTAACCCGCCGCGACGAGGGCCACCCAGGAGGCAAACGAGAAGCGAAAAAGCGCACAAAAGCAGCGGCAGGAAGGAACCACGCATGGGCGTTGGAAAGTCACGACGTCGGGGGTCTGCAGGCCTCCAGGGGCCTCTGGAGGCCTCTGCCTTGCATCCCCGGACCCTCGGAGCCCCCGCGAGGCCTGCAGAATTCCACACCAAGAGCCACAAGCGCCCACGAACTTCGAAACGGACAGAAATGACCTCGCACAGATGACAAAAAAAAACCTGGAGGAGATGCCACGACGAAATCAAAGAAGTCTCGAGCTGAGGACGCGCTGGCTCGAGCACGATGGAATCAGGATGTGCCTGGCTCTAGTTCATGTCAGAGAGTGGCTTCTGCATTTGAGCCTCGGCGACTTCTAGATCAAAAAGAACCGGAGGAGATGCCACAGGGTTCCTTTCTGGGCCCGCGCAGCGGCCACCAAGAGCGCAGCCGAAGGGGCTCGTTTCCCAACAGGCGGGCGAGAACCCGGCCCGCTCGGCAACCGCACGGGCCCAGACGCCGAGATTCAGGAGGGAAGGAAACACACAGACACAATGAATCGTCGACTCCCAGGAGAATGTGGGAAAATATGGGAAGTGGAAGGGAAGACAAAAACCAGGAAAATATTGGAAAATGTGGGGAGTCCTGTTATTTGTGTGTGTGTATTTATTTGTGTGTCCCTGGGCCCCCTCAGAGATGGGATCCCGCTGGCGGACCTGGCCGCAGCTAGAGGGAGACAAGTCAGCATAAGCAGGTATGCTTTCGGAGGCCCGCGCGGATGTCTTGGATCGGCGCTGTGCCTCCCTCCTTGGCGCGCGGAGCGCGCCAGGGGCAGCGCCGGAGGCGCCGCCCGGGAGGTCCAGCGCCGATCCACGAAATCCGCGCGGACCTGTGCAAACTGGTGCCAAGTATTCCCAGCGGGGCCAGGTGAAATTCCGACTGAACTGACTCAAACTGAACTGAACTGAACCTGGCCATCGCTCGGACGTCCATTCCCTGTGTTTTTTTCGATTTCGTGCGTGGCTTTTTCGCCAAATGATCAAGGATGCTCCTCGATAGTCCTCGCCGAAGGAAAAATGCACACGTCCGAGCGATGCAAAGGAACTGAACTGAACTGAACGTCGATCAAACACGGGTCCTACGCGAGATGGCACAGCCACCTTGCGCGGCAGCGTACGCGGGCCGCCAGCGTGGCACGCTATGCTTTGGAGACGACGGCGCCTACGCGCGAGCTTACGCGGGCAGCTTAAGCCGTCCGTGTCGGCGCAGACGGCCCGTTTTTTTTTGCGCCGCTCCGCTGCACTGAACGTCAGGGCGCATGCGCCCTGACGTTCCGTTGCTCGAGAACGTGTCGAACCCGAGGCGCCCCTCGGGCGACACCTTCTGGGCCGCCCGCTGGCACAGCCGCGACTTTGCACTGCCGCCCGTCGGCGCAGAGCCCATCGCGCGGCGCGCCGTGGGGTCGCCCGAGGGCACCGCCGCAGCTGCGACAAAAAATACGACGCGCTTTGGGCCGCCCGCGGGCGCAACCGCCACCGCAACTGCGACCCGGCGACACCTTCCGAGCCGCCCGTGGGCGCAGCCGCAATCGCAACCGCAACGGCGACCGGGTGCCACAGTTTGGACCGCATGCGGGCGCAGCCGCAACCTCATGTGCACCCGAGCGACACATCCTTGGGCCGCCCGCGGGCGCCGCCGCAACCACAACTGCCACTGGGCGACACCTTGTGGGCGCCCGCGGGCGCAACCGCAACCGCAAGCCGCACAGGGCGCCAGAGGGAGCAGGATACGGAGGAGGAGCGGAAATGGGACGGGGAAAAGGAGCGCGTCTTTCCATTCGCGGCCATAACGGGCCTTCTAGTGGGGGAGGGGGGGGGAGGGGCGGGAGGGGGCATAACGCAGCGCCCCCCCCCCCC